GCGAGAAGCTGTAGGAACCCCATGTGTATCTCATTTGTACACAGGGGTGATAACTTGCAGTGATAGAATGGTTATGTCCCAGCTCACTAGGCTAATCCTCTGCCTTGCGGTGCCGGCACACCGGGTTCTAGTCCCGGTCGGGGCGCCGGATTCTGTCCTGGTTGCCCCTCTTCCAGGCCAGCTCTCTGCTGTGGCCAGGGAGTGCAGTGGAGGATGGTCCAAGTCCTTGGGCCCTGCACCCCATGGGAGACCAGGATAAGTACCTGGCTCCTGCCATCGGATCAGTGCAGTGCGCCGGCTGCAGCGCGCCTGCCGCGGTGGCCACTGGAGGGTGAACCAACGGCAAAGGAAGACCTTTCTCTCTGTCTCTCTCACTGTCCTCTCTGCCTGTCCGAAAAAAAAGAATTTTTGAACTTACTTAGCAAAACAATGAGAGAGAGAGAGAATGGTTATGTCCTTTATCCAAAGTGTCTATTTTCCTGGTGTTGAGGAGCTTAAACATTTTGATGTTTAAAAAGAAAAGAATGCTGGGATCATAGATTCAGAGAAGAAGAGAGCATTTACTCCAGGTCCCTCAAAAGCGAAGCCGGACCAGGCACTCCCCAGGTGTTATGGTTTGAACAGGATTTGGCTCACTCTTGCAGGCGTTCGAACCCCAAAGTCCTGTGTTAACAGCAGATGGATTAAGTGTGGACAGTTGATCTAACCATGGTACCTGGGGTGGGGGTGGGGCTAGTGGGAGGTCTTTAGGTCAGGGAGGAGTGGCCTGGGAATGTAGTTCCATAAAGAGAGTTGGCTGCGTAGGCCGTGCGTGCTTCTTGCCTCTGAGCTCCTGGTTTGCAGCGTGGTCTTGCTTCTGCGCGCATTCCCGGTCACTGTGCTCGTTGGACGCCAGACTGATGGGGCCGCCCAGTCATGGACCGTGGACCTCCAAAGCCGTAGGCTGGAATTAATCTTCCTCCTTCCCTCGAGGCCTCTCTCAGCCGTCTCAGCATAACGGAAAGCGGACTGACCCCAGGGGACTGTGTGTTCTCCTTGGGTCACGTTCAGAGTAACCCTCGCCTAGAGGGTGCCGGGTCAACAGCAGCGCATCAGGGTCTTGGGGTTTCTTCAGGCTTCTGTTGTCTCCCCTGGTTATGTCGACTGTGGGTCCTGTTTACAGTCCTGCTCCCGGGACGGTAGACGCACCTGATTCATTTCAGCCGGCCAAGGACCGCTCCAGCCGTCCGTTTCCCCAGAGGTAAACTACTCTTCCGCGTTTGCTTTTGGGGTGTTTCCAGGTTCTCCAGGTGCACTTTCGTGGATATTCTTCTTCTTTAGAGTTTTTCTAACCAAAGGCAGAGCCGAGCTAGAATGTTCTGTGGGAGGGGCAACAGTCTGCGGAATGTTCTGAGCGAGTGTTTTTCTAAAAGACGTAGTTGTTCTTTCTAGATCCCTGTTTACTGTCCCGCATTTTGGAAACTCTAAATGTGAGCATGAAGAAAGCAGAGGCAACTGGAGAGAAAGATTATAGACCAGAAGTCGATGGCTTTGGCGAACAGAGTCTGGAGGGAATCGCAGACAGAACAGAGGGGTACCCCTTCTCTCCGTTTTTTTAAGGGGATACCTTTTTCTGAATCACTATCTTTACAAATTCTTTGTTCCTCTGGGAAAATGTGGAGGCTTATGTTGTACCCAAATCATTCCTGATCTGCATGAAAAAAAAAGTGCAAAAACCGCGAACCCCCCTCCCCCAACTAGTAAGTATGAATTTTGCAGGCTGATTCTTGCCTGTAACCTTCTTTGCAAGTGTACAGGAGCTACCTCAGTGTTTGCTCATGGATAGTTCATAAGGACCATGAGATGACTAATAAAGAAACTCCTGGGGCCACGGGGTAGAGATCCCTGTTCCAGGCTCCCACAAAATGCTCCTGGTGGGCACCTTCATTGTTCTCTTGGCTGACCAAGAAGGCGCCCCCTGGGAGAAGGAGTGGCCTGGGAGGCGCTGGGAGGGCAGTCGGCTGATGTGTTCCTCACTGACTCGCCAGGAGCCAGCAGCTTCCACAGTAGAGTCACTCTAACACCCCCAGAGAAACCCCTGTCACGGGGTACACGCTGTCTGTCCAGCTGCAGCTGTAGCTCCAACCAGCATGAGCGCTGCACGGGCAGGGTGGAGCTGTGTGTTGGAGACTGAGGGTGTGGCCAAGGCCAACACATCTGGCAGGAGAGTTCAGAAGGCAGACTTGCGGTGAGCAAGGTGAAGAGGGGCTTTGCCGCCCACCTGTCTTCTGCAAAGGACTCTCCGCTCTCAGTGACAGATACAGCACTGGCCTGGGTCCGCCGTGACTTGAAGTCACATCGCTGACTTGCCCGGGGAAAGCATTTCATTTTTGCCTCTCTCAGAGTGATATCGCAAAAAGTATGGGTTTGGTGCAGGGCAGACCATCACTGACATTCGGAGCAAAAAATATCCACCCCCCTACTTTCCTCAGTCCTCCTTGGCAGTGCTTTATCTCTTGGTAAGAAAGCGTGATCTGTAGTCTGGCAACATTGAACTCAGCGCGCTTGGGCTTCACTCCAGTTGGTTAGGAAACATCATCTCAACAAAACCTGCCAGCAGTTCAGATGAGCTACCGCCTAGTCAGGTCTAAATATTCTCCTATCTCTCTGATCCGTGCCTTAACAAATCCTGAGTTTTTTTTTTTTTTTTTCATCAGTTTCAGAAAAGATAGGAAAGACACCCATGAAGTCCTCACAACAATGTTGAATTGTCTTCTGCATTGCAGTTATTATAGCTGGAATGAGGCCTACTGATTTCAAACTGAGTCCTGTGTTTTTGTTTGTATTTTGTTTTTTTTTTTTTTTTTCTTGAATGTGATAATTTTGTGGCCATACGGATTATCTAAGTATCTGTGTGTATGTAGGGGTTTCTTTTCCCCAACCTGTATAAGACCCAGCCATTACCAGGTGCACTGGTAGTATTTTCACTTTCTAAAACCCCAGGATTTAATTCCTGTGGGATTGTTAGTGTTGTTTTCAGCGTTGCACTATGTGCAGAAAAGTAATATATCTCCACATGACTTCAGGGACTTGATGTTTGACATAAAATTATGATCATGTACAACTCTGAAGCTATGTACAAAAAGATGAAGCCGAATCATTTCATTGAATACAGTACATTTTCTCCCCAAATAAATTGATTTTAGATGATTCCCTTCATCTCTTCCACCCTGCTGGGCCTGGCTGCTTGCTGTGAGACACAGCAAAGTAGGAAGGAGGCTGTTGTTGCTTGATGGCAAATTAATTCAACAATTTCAACAAACATTTATTGAATGCCTACTATATGCCAAATATAATGCTACGTGGTAGGCATATAAAAAGGGATCAGCTATCATTGTTGAGTTCAAGATGTTAACTGTTGAGTGAGGCAAGAGAGTTGTTTGCAATGAACTATAAAACAGCTCTACAAATGATGGTACAAAGGGAGTATAAGACAAAGATCTGTTTTCTTGGATGACGTCTGAACTGGGCTGCGAATCTTTGCAGGTGAACATCACTTGAAAAGGAGATTTCAGGCAGGAGCAAAAAGTAAGAACAGCATTTGGTAACTTTAATTTACTCTGTGGGTTACTGGCTGTGACACATGAGGATTTAATCTGGACAGAAATGACTGTTAAATCTCTCCCATAAATGTGTAAAAACATTATATAATGTTCTATAATGGATAAAGTGATTTCTGATGTGTTTTCTCATTTACTCCTCATAGAAATCCCATGAGATAAGAATTACAGAAATTCCTTGGCTTACAGATGTTCAAATTATGGTTTCCTAAGGTAGAGGAAAAGCATATCAATTCTATTTTCCACCAACAGATGGCGATGGAGGACAGACATGGTAGCCACTGTGGTCCTCTGTAGTATGCTACTAGTAAATTATATACATGGTGTTTGTGCTTAGTTTTGAGTATTTCACAAGTATTTTAAACCACATTATGTGCAATCAGTGCAAACGCTGGAAGAATGTGGTAAATGCCAATAAGGAGAGGTCAGGAGATGCCTCAGGTGCCCTGTCATGTTCCCTAGGCCCAGTGTGGGTTTTAGCTGGAGCGGTAGTGGCGATTCTGTGCAGGCAAGACTGTCTTCACACCAGTGTCAGCCCTCAGGAGTGCCCTAGATGTTGTTGCTGGGCTTCCTATGACTACGTCCAACTTAATGTCTGAGAGGCAGCTGTCAACAGATGGTGCATAGGAGACTGGGGATAAATCCTCCAGGCTTTTTGCCTATCAGTGGACACTTCTGATGAATTCTTGAATGTCCTGGTGGAACGGAGTCCCCACAGCTAAAGCAACTACAGTGCAATAATAGCCCTTTTATTGGCTTTTCTTTTTTCCCGATCCTATGCAACTGCCTGCTAGCACATTGATCTGGAAACTTCCTCTTTATAAGACCCAGGGGGGCAGGAACTTTAGTTAGTACTTCAAAGAGTTCTAGGCAAGGAGTAGGCAAGTAAACATTTGTTGAATGAATGAATAAATATTTATACAGAGACACTCAGGATATTTGAAAAAGATCATGGAAAACTGAATTAAAGGATTAGTTTATTTGGTGCAAAGCCTTTAGAAACCCATGCATCATTTTTTCATAATATACATTTACAGTGGACTGTTTGAAGACCCCTCATCACATACAAATGTATGTATCACCAAGCAGGAAAAAACATACTTGGATTTAGGCCACATTCTCGTGGAATGTGTTGGAGTTTGCAAAAACTGAAACTTTTCTCTGTCTCTTTGAAGTATAAACTTGGAATCCAACTTGTTGTTAAGTGCAGAACTGTATGATGCTGTTTCTGTTGTGTATATGAGAGCACGGAGTCTTGGGTAGGCCAAGGACTTGTGTGAGGTATGAGAAATTGGCTGAGGCTATGGCAGGTTGAATAATGCGCACCCAAAAATCACCCAAAGATATCAAGTCTGAATCCCTGGAATTTTACTTATTTATTGAAAAGTGTTTTTCCTTTTTTTTTTTTTTTTTTTTTTTTTGGTTGTCCCAAGTTTATTGAAAATACGACAGCGAAGCGGAAAGGCTCACACGGCTCCACGCGGCGTTTTGAAGTTCATCCCCACTGTAGGCTGCGTGACCTGCAGGTTGGACAGGCTGCCGAAGTCCAGGAGCTTCAGCATTTCCTTCGTGTCAGGATCCACTTCAATGATCTCCTGATCCAGCGCTGAGACCTCGGGCACGTAGTTGTCTCTCCGCTCCCGCTCCTCCTCCTGCAGCTTGATGGAGATGCCTCTCACCGGGCCCCTCTGGATCCGCTTCATCAGGTGCGTGACATAGCCCGCGATCTTGTTGCGCAGCTTCTTGCTGGGGATGATGGCGATCTCCTCGCACACGCGCTTGTTGGTGTGGAAGTCATTGCCCAGGCGGGTGTAGTACTTCTCGATGATGACCCGGGCCGCTTTCTTCACGGTTTTGGTGCGCACGCGGCCCATGTTGGCGGGTCTGAATCCCTGGAATTTTACTTATTTATTGAAAAGTGTTTTTCCTACCCTTCAAGATATTGGCACAGGCAAAGAATTTCTGGAAAAGACCTGGGAGGCACAGGCAGTCAAAGCCAAAATCAACTATTGGGATTGCATCAAATTGAGAAGTTTCTGTACTGCAAAAGAAACAGTGAGGAGAGTGAAAAGACAACCGACAGAATGGGAAAAAATATTTGCAAACTATGCAACAGACAAAGGGTTAATAACCAGAATCTACAAAGAGATCAAGAAACTCCACAAAAACAAAACCAACAACCCACTTAAGAGATGGGCCAAGGACCTCAATAGACATTTTTCAAAAGAGGAAATCCAAATGGCCAACAGGCACATGAAAAAATGTTCAAGGTCGTTAGCAATCAGGGAAATGCAAATCAAAACCACAATGAGGTTTCACCTCACCCCGGTTAGAATGGCTCACATGCAGAAATCTACCAACAACAGATGCTGGCGAGGATGTGGGGAAAAAGGGACACTAACCCACTGTTGGTGGGAATGCAAACTGGTCAAGCCACTATGGAAGTCAGTCTGGAGATTCCTCAGAAACCTGAAGATAACCCTACCGTTCGACCCAGCCATCCCACTCCTTGGAATTTACCCAAAGGAATTTAAATTGGCAAACAAAAAAGAGGTCTGCACCCTAATGTTTATTGCAGCTCAATTCACAATAGCTAAGACCTGGAACCAACCTAAATGCCCATCAACGATAGACTGGATAAAGAAATTATGGGATATGTACTCTTTAGAATACTATACCGCAGTAAGAAACAACGAAATCCAGTCATTTGCAACAAAATGGAGGAATCTGGAACACATCATGCTGAGTGAAATAAGCCAGTCCCAAAGGGACAAATACCATATGTTCTCCCTGATCGGTGACGACTGACTGAACACCAAGAGGGAAACCTGTTGGAGTGAGGTGGACACTATGGGAAATGGTGGCTTGATCAGCATAGCCCTGACTGTTAATGAACAACTAAATACATTATCCCTCTTAGTAGTTTTTTTTATCTGTTCTACTCAATATGACTGGTTTAATTCTGTAATTGATGCACAGTTATTCTTAAGTGTTGAAAATTAACTGAAATGTGATCCCTGTTGAACATGGTGGTGGGAATGGGAGAGGGAAGAGATGTATAATTTGGGACATGCTCAGGCTGACTTGCCCCAAGTGGTGGAGTTGGAAGCATACCAGGGGATTCCAATTAAATCCCATCGAGGTGGCATGTACCAATGCCATCTCACTGTTCCAGGTGATCAGTTTCAGTTCACAGTTGGTCATGGTGAAGGGACTGGGAGTCAAAGGGAGCACATAGACAAGTCTAGTACCTGCTAACGCTAACTGATGGAGTAAATAAAGGGGAGAGTGATCCAACATGGGAAGTGAGAATCTCAGCAGACTCATAGAATGGCAGATGTCCTAAATAGCACTCTGGCCTCAGAATCAGCCCTAAAGGCATTCGGAGCTGGCTGAAAAGCTCATGAGAGTATTTCAGGCATGGAAAGCCAAGACACTCTGGCAAAAGATCTCTGCGAGTGAGATCCCAGTGGAAAGAACAGGCCATCAAAGAAGGAGGTACCTCTCTCTGAAGGGAGGAGAGAACCTCCACTTTGACTATGAGCTTGTCTAAACAAGATAAGAATCGGAGAACTCAGAGGGCTTCCATAGCCTTGGAAACTCATGACTGGAGCATAGGGAGATTACTGATGCCATAGACAGGAGTGTCAATTGGTAAAGTCAACAACAGGAGTCACTGCGCACTTACTCCTCATGTAGGATCTCTATCCTTAATGTGCTGTACATTGAGATTTAATGCTATAACGAGTACTCAAACAATATATTTCACTTTGTGTTTCTATGGGGGTGCAAACTGTTGAAATCCTTACTTAATGCATACTAAACTGATCCTCTGTTAAAAAAAAAAAAAAAAAGAAAAAAGAAATTATCAGTTCCCAACTTGACTCTCACTGGGATTAAACATGACAATAGGTCTGCTCCGATTTCATCATCATTTTAAAAAATCATCTATTATTTTTCACTTTATGTTTCTGTGTGGGAGCAAACTGTTGAAATCCATACTTAATGTATACTAAGCTGATCTTCTGTATATTAAGATAATCGAAAATGAATCTTGATGTGAATGGAAGGGGAGAGGGAGTGGGAAAGGGGAGGGTTGTGGGTGGGAGGGACGGTATGGGGGGGAAGCCATTGTAACACATGAGTCGTACTTTGGAAATTTATATGCATTAAATAAAAGTTTAAAAAAAAAAAAAAAGAAAAGTGTTTTTCCTGCAGTCACTAAGTTCGGGTCTTGAGATGAGGAGACCACTGCTCTCAGTGGCATGATGTGTGTCCATCACAGAGGCCAAGAGAGATGACAGACACGCAGAGGAGGTGATGTGAAGGTGGAGTGGAGCAGGAAAAGCTGCCAGTGACCAGAAGTTAGAAGAATGGGTCTTCCCGAAAGCCTCGAGAGGGCGTGCAGCCTGCCAACACCTTGGTTGTAGATGGCTGGCCCCCAAAATTGTGGGAACAGATACCAGCTGTTGTGAGGCATCTAGTTTGTGGTAACTTGTTAGATAATGTCCTAAGACATGTGTAGAGGCCGAGTGAATCTATGATTTCCCACTCTACAGAGACTGAGAAAAGATTTTCCACCTGGGTTAGCAGGCTGCCTTGACTGCATCCCCATGTCCTTGGAGAAGAGAATTCTGGAAAACTTGCCCTTTGCTGCTCTCAAACAGCCTTCCTCAAAGATGAGTTAGAGATGAGGCAGCAGCTCTGGGGCCTTTGCCGTGAGTCACACCCTCCAGTGGTGATCTTAGAAGGGAGTCTAGGGTATCATCCAGGGGTCATCACGTTAGAACCTGATGGACGTTAAGCTTATGACTTCCCACACGTGTTAGAATGAAACAGGCTTCTGAGTTTATTTAAGCAAATCAAAGGTTGAGGGGTTTCCCAACAAATCATTTTTAGGCAAAATCTCCAGTGTCAGAGTAATCAGAAATATCCTTTCTCTTTCTCTCTCCCTCCAGTCTCCACATGTTCAAAGACATCACATCTTATGCACCACACAAATCTCTTCTGTATTGGTCAGCTTTTCTTAGCTGCAACAAAATACCTGACACAGGCTGCCTATGAAGGAAAGAGAAGTATACTTTGGCTTACGGCTGTGGAGATTCTCAGTCCAAGATCAGGTGTGAGTACCAGTGACAGAGTGTGGAGTGTCAGTGGAGGAAGGATCCCATGAGGAGACAGGAGGTGGAGAAACTGGCTTAGCTTGATGCAGGCTTTCATAACCAACCTCTTGCAAGAATTACCTTTTGACTGTTTAGCCCCCCTCCCGAAGCTAAGGACCTCTAGGTGGACCTCACCTGTAATCACCATAGTTGGATCCCCCACCTCCACCTCAGTACCATCAACTTAGGACTGTGGGGCTTAACAGCCACATAACTTAGGAGCTGAATTTTGTTCAAACCCATAGCACCCTCTATGCAGGTATACACACACACCACACTAAACTGTACACTCGTATAACAACAATAACAATAACAGTAATAACAAAAATATAAAAAAAATAGCTTTTAGCAACCAAAATTTCCACAGATGAATAATAGGCAAATGGTGGCATGTCATATAATAGAACATTACTTGGCAATGAAAAAGAAAAAAAAACGGTTATAAACAGCACAGTATGGTGTTGAGTAAATGAATGCATAAAGTGTATGCACTGTTTGACTCCATTTGTATAAAATTCTGGATTAGATGAAACTAATCTACAGGAAAAGTGGATCAATGGTGAACTTGACCTGGGGTTTGACTGCAAAGGAAGCTTTTTGATGGGGGTAGACATGCTTTATATCTGAGTTGTCCTGTTCATTGGTTCATTACGTGCTTGTAAACATTTGTCAAAACTCATAGAACTTGTATACATAAAAGTGTCTATTATTGTATGTAAATCATACCTTCATAATGATAATAAAAGAAAGAAAACTAGAAGATCTTTTGTCCTGTTTCTGGCATGGATATTCTAGCTCAATTGTGTTCTGTGAAAGCCCCAGTATATTCTAGGGAGATGTACTGTTTCCTAATATATTGTAGATTGTTAGTATAAAAGCATAAAACACTAGGTAGAATACAGTCTAAGAATGCTGTCCAATTAGAAAACTTTCTTCATGTAAATCCTAAGTTTGGATTGTTGATAAGTCTGGGTGCTTGTATAATATTATCTTTTAAAGTTCCCAGGGCCGGCGCCGTGGCTCACTAGGCTAATCCTCCGCCTAGCAGCGTTGGCACACCGGGTTCTAGTTCCTGTCGGGGCGCCGGATTCTGTCCCTGTTGCCCCTCTTCCAGGCCAGCTCTCTGCTGTGGCCCGGGAGCGCAATGGAGGATGGCCCAAGTGCTTGGGCCCTGCACCCGCATGGGAGACCAGGAGAAGTACCTGGCTCCTGGCTTTGGATCAGCGCGATGCACCGGCCGCAGCGGCCATTGGTGGGTGAACCAAGGTAAAAGGAAGGCCTTTCTGTCTCTCTCACTGTCCACTCTGCCTGTCAAAAAAAAAAAAAAAAAAAAAGTAAAGTTCCCAGAAGGCTTCAAAATGCTCATGATTTTGGGACTGTAAATAGTGGCCCAATCATGACATTTTAGAGATAATTATAATTATTTTGTCTTCTGGAGAGTTCAATATATGAGACAAATGCAAAAAGTTCATGGAAGATGCATGTTATGAAAAAACTATGCAGATTTCAGTTTTTCTGACCAACATGAAGTTACCTTTTAAATTCCGTTTTCCATGAATGTTTTGAAGATCCCTTATGGAACCCATTTCCAAACATTTCTTGTGTGTCTCAACTGCTAATGTTTGTTGTCAGGGAAGAGGTTGTGGCTCTCAAGCTATCTTTCTCTGAGTACCATTGTACTTTTAATAGCAGATTTCATGAGAAAAGAGCCTTCCAAAACAAAG